TGACTTCCTCAACAAACAAAACATCGACATTGCCGTTATCACCGAAACCCACCTGAAACCGGAGGTAAACATCTACCTTCCTGACTTCCGGCTTCTAAGACATGATCGAACCAGCTCCGGGGGAGGAGGAGTGGCCATTGCTGTAAGGAGAAACATCTGCTGTCGGCTTCTGCCGAGCTTCCAGCTAAAAACCATCGAAGCTTTAGGGGTAGAAGTCTCCACTCCTGTCGGCCCTATCACCATCATTACGACCTACTGCCCCAAGCAAGTCACCATCAGGCCTGCGGAGGGACATCATCAAACTAACTCAACGGCGCGAAAAGTACATCATCGCTAGGTCGCCAGCACCAACACCAAACATCAGGCTTGGGGCAACAGTCGACGCAACCAAAACGGCACCATCCTGAATGACGACCTGCAAGAGGCTCGCTACGCCATATTAGCGCCGGACTGTCCCACTCGGTTGAGCCGGTCTAGCGTTCACTCCACGATAGACATCTTCATCAGCAACATGGGAGACAACATCTCGCTACCTGTGACCCATCAGGAGCTGAGTTCGGACCACTATCCGGTGGTGGCCGAAGTAGGCTCATCCGTCAACCGAATCCAAGCTTCCCGACGCAACTACCATCGTGTCAGCTGGGAGCAGTTCCAACACTGTGTCGACTCCACTGTCGACTACGGTGTCCTTCCGGAGACGCCCGAAGACGTTGACCGGTGTCTGCGTTCCATCGAGAAGGCGATATCCCGGGCCAGGAAACAACACGTGCCAGTATCCAGACAGGTGAGCAATACTCTGAACCTTGATAGAATTACCAGAGATCTCATCAGACTCCGTAACTCCATCCGAAGGCAATACCAGCGTTCTGGTTTACGTGTCTTGAAGACCCATTGCAATCGTCTTACAAAAACCATCCAAGCCAGGATGGTGGACCTCAGAAATCAAGATCTTGCTAACAAGATCCGCTCTCTCCCAGATTGTGCAAAGCCCTTCTGGAAACTAACGAAAATCCTTAAAAATAAGCCAAAACCCATTCCACCACTGACCCCACTGGATCGTCCCGGCGACCCAGTGGTTTATCTGATAACTCCTGAAGAGAAGGCTGCCGCGATAGGTCAACACTTCGTCAGCTCCCATAATCTCGAACAAAACTTCGTCAGCCCTCACGAATCTGAGGTTGCTGAAAACGCAACCAATCTTCATCAGATTCCTAACATTTTTCCAGAGGAATTTGAGATTACGGCTGACGAACTGTTGGCCTTTATCAAATCATCTAAAAACATGAAGGCCTCAGGTTTCGACAACATCCTGAATCTGGAACTCAAACACTTGAGTTCCAGATTCTACAACCATCTGGCACTGGCTTCAGACTTGGCTACTTCCCCTCGTGTTGGAAGTCAGCTAAAGTCATACCCATCCGGAAACCTGGGAAGGATCCTTCCTCTCCTTCAAGTTATCGACCAATCAGCCTTCTCTCAGGGTTATCAAAACTGTTCGAAAGAGGAGTCTACCACCGGCTCCTAACATCTTCCGAACAAAACAACATCTTACTCGGGGAACAGTTTGGTTTTCGGAAAGGTCGTTCGACCGTCCACCAGTGACAAACATTCTCAGACGGAACAAGTCTGTTTCGAAAACATCTGCAATGGCGTTGTTGGACGTTGAAAAAGCGTTCGACAATGTCTGGCATGATGGCCTGGTGTTCCAATTTTCCTAGTGCAGATAATAAACAACTACCTATCGGACAGGACGTTCCGAGTCTCTTTGAATGGCATCACATCGGATGCTTTCAACGTCGGTGCTGGGGTTCCACAAGGAAGCATCCTTGGCCCCATTCTATTCAACCTGTTCACCTCCGATATGCCGGCTCTCCCTGATGGTGGATCGTTGTCTCTGTTCGCAGATGACACATCCATCGTCTACAAGGGTAGGGTCATCGGAGCTCTGACTGCCAAACTTTAGAGAGGCCTGGACGTCCTGTCTGAATATTTCAACAGCTGGAAGATCCGTATCAACGCGGCAAAGACCCAGGTCATCATCTTTCCACACTCAAAACCTCCCAGACATGTTCCGTCTGAAAATAATAAGATCTGCTTAAACGGCTCAGTTGTGGAATGGTCCAAAGAGGTCGTGTATCTCGGGCTAACACTAGACAGCAAGCTTCTTTTCAGAGAGCACGTTGACAAAACCAAAACCAAGTGCAACATCTTGATAAGATCGTTGTATCCACTCATGAACAGGAAGTCTACCCTGTCCCTGAAAAATAGGCTTGCTGTCTACAAACAAATCATCCTTCCCGTAATAGAATATGGGATGCCAATCTGGGAGAGTTGCGCCAAATGCCATCACTTCAAACTCCAAAGGATCCAAAACAAGAACCTGAGGATGGTCCTTAACAGTCCCCCGCGGACTAGAAATTCTGAGGTCCACCGTCTGGCTGGTCTTCAGACACTGGAGTTACGGAGAGCTGACTCCATCGCAAGGTTCAGAGATTACTGTAGGCGATCCGATCAGCAGATCGTCAGGGATCTGGCACGTTAGGTTAAGTTAGGGTAAGTAGGTAGAATAACAAATTAATACATTCAAACAACATACTTCACAAGAAGAAAATTGAAAAACATTACACAGTAAAAAACAACATGTACAACACAATATCAAAAAGTTCACCATAGATGAAGAGCCATTTTGGCTAACCTCTTACCCTGTATTAGCAATTGTAAACCACATAGCAAATCAAAATAAATAAGAATTTTACTACTAACTAGAATAAACCAGTCTTTGTCCAAACAGAGGCTCTGCTTTTCCTCAAAGCGATTTCCGACTGTAACCAGTCGTAAAGACCGCTTACTGAAGAACTCCCGATGGCGAATCCAAGTCCTCGCGACAGAAGATAACCGTCAAATCGAAAGTATCAATGTGCGCGTAAAAGTAAGTTGTGATGTGCGCTTGAACCACTGACGTCGTAGCGTTGTTCACCGCAATGTTTCCTTAAGGAAGAAGGAACATTGTACAAAATTAGTCGAGTGGGGCTTTAAACACAGAATCAAGAAAATGCCGAAGTACAGTCGATTTCTAGCCATGCTGTCGACGGAAGGGGAAAATAATCCAATTCCACAACTTCCTGGGAGGGCCAGCAGCTCCAACAAAACCGTTCAGAGCAACCGACTGAGAAGAGTGAAGTGAAAACGATTCACGAAACACTGGAAGCCGTCAAATTAGACGCTTAAAATTGATGGGAATACACAAAATATGATAATGGCGTTTGCGTCACGTTATGAATAAAAACAGACCATCCTTCTCCAGAAATTGCGTTTCGATGATGATCCGAATAACATGCATCAGTGCCAAACTGGGACTGCTGAAAACTTCCGACAGGAAACTTCAGAAGCCTTCAGCCGACTGCCTTCCGAGCCATAGTAGTGGTTGCATTTTGCAATCGGTGCAAGGGTTCCAAAAAACTAAGTAAGCGGAAGCGCACATAAACTTCATCGCATCATCCGGTAGAAGGGAAACCTTTCGGGAGCGAATGTGCTTCCACCTGTTCCAAGTAATGTAGACACACTTCCTGATGAACTGCTTCCAATGGATGAAAATCGCTCTTATTGAGGATGTCACACCGCGTGTTGATCCGACACTGGAGTAGAACCTCGTTGCAATGATCGCACAACAAAGCTATCGAAAGATTAACAAATTTTGACGTTTTACTTTTTCCAGGCAACTTTGCCACCACCATTGATGCCGTCATAAAACTAAACGGAATAGGATCAAGCAAAATGACTTCATATAAAAACAATTCAGTCTGGAAATTATCTTAAAAGGCGCTTTAAAACGTTTTGCATTTGTTGGCGATTTCATGAAAGCAAAACAGCTTTTTCGCAAATGACTTATGGAAAATTAATGTTTATGCTATCGCCATATTTGTTTTTTTTTTAATAACTACGGGTTTCAAGATGTTTTTCTTGAAAATAAATTTATCCAAATCAATTCATTAATGAGCAGTAGTAGAGAACACGAAAACTATCAAATTATCTCGGCTGGGCGCAACGATTTGTTTCTCAAATTAAAAATAATTATTAAAATCAACGTTTTCCGAAGGTGGCCTTATTTTTTTCCGATCTTCCGAAACACTTTTCACATTAGATTTAATCTGTTAGGGGAAATGTTGGCTTCGGCAATACCTTAACCTATTATCGTCAGGGGGTAAACAAAGTCCTAGAGCACTCAAATTTGGCCAATAGTTGCTCTGAAACACAATATATCCACATGCCAAAATTGAGCTCTCAAGGACGTTGTTTACCCCCTGACGATAATAGGATAAGGTATTGCCGAAGCCAACTTTTCCCCTACCTGAAAATAGACCACAATATGATAACTGGTTCGATAATTTTGCGAATTCTTTCACATTAATGATGAGGAATTGTGTTAATATTAAAATCGGGTCCTCTAGGAAACATAATTTGTCATGCTACTCATTTACTCAGTAGGGTTTACTTTTGTATACTCCTGACCATGAATGTTAACAAGCTACCTAACTAGGTATGTTGTATGCTGCTGTTTGTCTTCATTGCTTTTGGCATGTATGACGGAAATGGGTTCCATATGCCGAAGTAGTGCTATACCCTATCTTGTTAAAAAAAAAAAAACGATTACCAATCGACCGGTAAATGGCAAGTTTATAAAACATTCCAATACCGTCATCAACGATGTTCGTTTGTACGGTTCGCAGTTCAAACGTATGAGGAAAAAGTAAACATTGAATGTTTGCCAAAATAATTCACATGTTCGGTGATACACTCAAAATTGTTCGCTATTTTCAACCAGAGTGAGTGGCACTACACGTACGCACATACTACACCTAATAGATATATTCGCGTTTGTAAACACATTCGGAACGCTTGCATAAACAGAGAACGGTTGGTAAATGTGAAAGAAGCAAATTTCAACGGCCCAGCTCATCAACCCCGTGCGAGCTGTTCGATGCTCACGAGCAGAATCCTACCTTTCGCTCAATTTTCTTTGCCGTCGCTCCAATTCCTCTAGTGCCAACAGGATATTCACAGGATTTCCAGCATCCAGCTATGCGAGCACTCACACATAGGCACACGCGTTAGGCAGATTTCTCTTTGCGAAATTTTCTTAGCAATGCCAGAGCACAATTCACACTTCTAGCCACTATAGACGGCACTAGTAGATTTGCACATTTATCATTCGATTTCATCTATCATCTTCGTAGACGGCGAAATTGAGTTAGTGCGCACTTCGTGCCCCGTGTTCGCCCAAACATCAAATTGTTCACTTGAATCTTTCTCGGGAAGCGACTATCTGTTGTATTTCATCTCATACCCAGGGTTGGATAAACCGAACAGAAAAGCCATGCACGAAAACACTATACATCAATGCTGATTCACGGTAGCAATTGATTTTCCTTCCGCCAGCATCCCTTTCGCGATTTTCCGATAAAAATAGAATTCTCTTTGCAATGTTTGCTGCCGCACTTAGCAATTTTCTAATTTCCAACGTTTCAAACGATGCTGCAGCTGCTTATTTACTGCTGTAATACTGAATGAACGTCCTGTTCTGGTTGGCTCGAATTAGAGATTTTCCTCCGTCCGTTCTTATGCGAACCGAGCGGTCGTGTGCCCCGTTTGGCTGAACCGCATTGCACAAAGGACATTCTCACTCTGAGCGTGCGGAAGCTCCCACGAGTAGCCAGCAACCTCGTCGGTGTCGTTGTCGGTTGATTGTGTGGAGCTGATTGGGGGGAAATGTGTGGTTTTTGTATACTCTGCACTATTCTGGTGCTATCAGAATCGCTAACTCGGGTGAGAGCGTGAGAGTGAGTTCTGGGATGTTTATGCTTGAAGAGCTATGGGCCGCATGTTTTACCAAGAGCACTAGTGCATTGTATGAGCTGGTGGGTTGAATGGATTGAGGTTTTAATAAGTACTATTAGATTTGCTGTTAGCGGCGCCCGGTGGTGTAGTGGTAAGCGTGATAACCTCTCACCCCAGCAGGCCTGGGTTCAATCCCAGTCGGCGTCGCCGGGATGTTCTGAGGCATAACATATCTGATCACGCCTTCCTTCGGAAGGGAAGTAAAGCCGTTGGTCCCAGGTTCATGAATTGATGGGTCGATAGGTAGGGGCCAGGTGTGGGAGGCTGCCTCTCTGGCGTCGGTTGCATTGGTGCTCAGCACGGAAAACAAGATCGACGGAAAAACAAATCAAAGGAAAAAAAAAGATTTGCTGTTGGGTTTTTTTTTGGTAATTGAAATTGTTTTTTTTTTTGTTGTTCAAAAAAACTTCACACAATTTTAATTTACCCTGGCATCAGAGTTTGAAACAAATCAAAAATGTGGGAACCGTTTATTAACAGTGTTTTGTTTTAAAATCCATTGTTAGTAAGTAAATTCCATTAAGTTTTGGGTTTACATTTTGATGCGACATAATATTTACGAAACATGACTGTTTTCCTGGTAATTTGAGTCAGCCGAAACTGAACGATTTAAATAAACTACAGCTCCACATGCAAACAAATTGCATAGGAGGAAAGAGTGTAAAACGTGCCAACCGGATAATTTGACCCAATAGCCTTTTGCATGAACTTTTCAAAATAAATTCATAGATATCATTCAGAAAGGCTAGATGTGCTGCTGTTCTTCATATCAATTTCATGGACAGTCCATTGGCAATATTTCTCCACTGATGCTTATTACACCCAGTTTCCCCATACGAACATCACATTTAAAAGTAGATTTCTTACATTCTACATCGAAATTTTATGGCATTACTTACAACGGACTGCTAACAATTTTTTTTTCAAGCTGAATTTCCATATAAAGTTTTCAAAAGTAGATGGTCTATACAGATAAAAAATATTTTGTAAATATAAAATTACACACTTAACGATCAGCAAATCATTTAATTAAGTTCATGTAAATGAAGTATTATTAAATAGTTGCACGTGAAATTACAGTGGTACTGCTGTATATTTCAACAAGAGTCAGAAAATACATCACAGTGCCAAATGTAAAGCTACAAAATGTTTGTTGTGTATGGCTAAATGCTTTAGGGGAACAAACATTGTTCAAAACTTGGATAAAATTTACTTTCTAAAACCATTTAAAAAGCGTTCTGACGACCACATCGCAGGGTCTCAACTTAGTGTTTTTGAGCACTTCTACAGTTGTTAGGTGGGCGTTGGCCAGATTTGTATTTTTCAGATATAATCCTATTTTTTTAAAAATTAGTTCGTTTATTTACTAGGCTCAGTCGTGTGTGACAGTTTGCGGAGCCAAAATCAGTAATGTTTCAATTTACATTTTAAATAGCAGTAGTTCTAGGTTAGTATTGGATACCAATTACTCGTGGCGGGCTCGAGGTTAATGGGTAACAATTTCAATTGGAAGGAGCTAGGTAGGAAACTGGTTTCTGCAGCCTCCTTCAGATAGTACTCTCGGACGGTTGACCAAATCTTGGCTGGGCAGGGGCAAGTAGCACATAAACAGAAGGATAATAAAACTGGGACACAATGGCTGGAAATTGTTTGGAAAGGAGGGGATGTTTACATCAAACTCTACTATCAGACAAACAAAGGAATTCGTAGATCGCCTGCATGTAGGGAAGATCACGGGTTCCCAATACATCTCTTACTTCACGGAAGGGTTGTCTACCTCGGCCACTAGGGTATCCAACAGTCGTGCTCTGGAAGCGTCATTACCCGGGCAATGCCAAACTGCGTGATCGATGTCATCATAACCGGTTCTGCACCTACATATATCGCTGTCAACGAGGTTTATTCTATAGAGATGTGCATCTAGCGAGTAGTTGTTGGACATAAGTCTTGACATCACTCGAATGAATCCCCGACTTACATCCAGACCTTTGAACCACGCTCTCGAAGAAACATTTGGAATAATGGAATGTAACCAGAGAATTACTTGTCCAATCGTTTTGCCAACTTAAAAGAGAACTCTGACGTACTAATGGGAAAAATTCATCATGTGAAATTCTTCTATCATAAATCTCGCCTTGTTGTGCGCCCACCTTTGCGAGAGAGTCTTCCTTCTCATTGAGGGGAACTATACAAAGGTAATCATATATGATCTTTCGCCCAGCAAAATCATCTGCTCCCTTACCTTTGAAAGGAAATAAGATGAGTGCCTACCTTGTTTCATCGACCGAATAGCCTCAATCTGAGACTATCCGAGAAGATAAAGTAATGGTCTGCGGGCATGTTGGAAATCATTCCCAATGCGAAGTTGATTGTTCAGCAACATAAACGGAAAAAGGTTCCTGAAGTTTCCGAAAGGCTGTTGAGTATTCATTGAAGACGCCGAAGACAGTGGATCCATCAATGCGTGATCCATCAGTGAAACATCTTCTATTGCAATTGACTTGTTGGTACTTTTCAGCAAAAATACGGGGAATTGAGATAGGTCGAAGTTGACATCCGTAATAAGCTCCTTGGTCTCTTTTTTCAAGCTAATCACTTCTTTTTTCACTAAAGTCACTATTTTTCAACTTTTTTAACGTGAATTTATTTAAAGATTGATCATTCTCCTGAAGGATTAGATAGTCCAATCGATGCCTACATGTTGTTCTAATTTTCGGATAATTCGAAAATGTGTCTCCTACAGAGCTTTTGGACGTTTAATCGTCTTTCTTTATTTACAGAGTGTCTACTCACTTGGCTATATAGAATTACCTGATTTTTTTCAGAACTTTAAAGCGTAATTTCCAGATTTATAATCAGAAAGCCACAACAACATGACAATCAGTTTTAAAGCAACAGCTGTACAATAAAATGCATTAAATGTTGAAGTTTAACATTTATTTAATTAGAGGAATTCTAAGACCATAAAATATTCTATGTTCTGAAGATTTGTTTTCTATGCACAGGTTTAAGATATTAAAAATTGTCAAAGTGCCAGAATTAAGGTAACAAAATATTTATTTAAAGTTTATAATTAACTTTATGAACGATTAGAAAACATCAGTCCCATTGACTTCACAACAATTGTAGGAACTTTACAATGTGCTGACAATTTCAGGGAAACTTCATAAACAAACTGCGGGAACATACCTTGTTGGTGGGCGTTGGCCAGATTTGGATTTTTCAGATATAATCCTATATAAGACCTAGATTATTTAATACTCTAGTAATCTCAAGTCCGTGCTCTGTCACAATGTTTCATTGTGATTAATCTACACTCAAAGGGGTAAAATATCAAATTTGGGGTGAATTTGAAAGAAAGGGAACTTGGAGTGTAGAGCGCACAGCCCACTGGAGGATTCTGAAGCCTGGCCAAGTGAGTGAGTTATGGGTTTATTTTATTGAACGTCATCTCCAATTTATATATTGATACATTCAAACCATTGGTATTTGAGATAAGACAGAGAGATGTGGAGGGCCCGCTTAGGGGGAGCGTAACCCATGTTAAGGTTCCGATTTATTAAATAGTTCAGATAGACTAGAAATGACAGGTTCATAGTGAGAAAATGTACCATATGGTGCCCGTTCACTGATCAAAATCAGATTCACATTTTCAGGCCCTGCCCAAGAATAAGGAGAATGACGATGTTTTCTCATGTTTTATTTTGCATTTGCATATAATTGTAATTTTAATTTTGCTTTTGTAATTATAGGATAAATAGTTTACTTCAATTGAAACATTGAGTTGTATAATCTTGACGAATCATACATCTAACATAGTAGTAATTACAGTGTCGCATGATCTAATAACCACTGCCTGCAACTAATGTTGGAGCGGCAGGGGAGATTATGGATCAAAACTAACATAACTCTATCACTAAAATGAACCCGAAACTAACGGTCATTCATTGCACTTTAAGTCATAAAGTAGTTCTATTGATTTTCGGTGGACATTGGTCAAAATTGGATTTTTTGTATAAATTTAATCCTAAAAAGGACCTATGGCGTACATTGACGCGAAGCGCTGTGGATTATGAGATGCTCGATAACCCTGGAGGGATCGATTTTGCTTACTGAGCAGAAAATCATGGATTTAACCCCAAGCTCTTCCACAGGACAATAAATCGCCACCATCATTTGTATATTTGATATTGACCTTTATTAACTTCGGAAACTACTTGCATATCAAGTGAAAACGTTGTCGTGTTTTGTCGCGAAGTGTTATGGTTATGAGATGCTCGATGACCCTGGAGGGATCGTTTTTGCTTACTGAGCAGAAAATCATGGGTTTAATCCCAAGCTCTCCGTCATGACTCTTATAATTCATGATCACTAAACAAAATGAATATGTTCTTTCGATAGCCGGCTATCGAGAGATTAAATAAACAACAAATAAAAAATACATACTTTTGGTTGCATCGCCAACTTGAGGTGAATCCTAACCGAATACCCCACCCAACCCTCCAACTCCGTAGCACTTATGAGGGTGTCGCTAAGTCGGTGGCCTCTCGTTAAGTAAGTACTACATCAACATTTCCTCCTCTATCCCTAGTTATGGTAAAGATGAGCGTGGCCGGGAATAGCGACAGTCATGCTTCTGTTTAGATTGGAACCAATGTTTACTCCCCAGCATTATTCCTGAAAGTAGTCTAACTGAGAATTTCAGAAGAGACGTGAGTGTCGCTAGTACCTATCCAATCTACAAAGTATATCTACTAACGCGCGCTTGAGCACTTCTACAGTTGTTAATTGCGAGATTTCTAAGC